AACATCTACATGAAACTGTTGGGTGAGATCATCCAGCACCATGGGATGAGGTATCATCAGTATGCTGATGAAACCCCATTATATATCTCCAACCCAGGTGACCTAAGTGATGCTGTGACTGCCCTCTCGCGGTGCCTGGAGGCTGTAGGGGCCTGGATGGGGGACAACAGGCTTCAACTGAACCCTGGTAAGATGGAGTGGCTGTGGGTATGGGGAGCTTCAAGACCTAGGAGTTTATCATCTTTGGTTCTTGATGGTGTCGCAGTACCCCAGACAGACCTGGTGCATAACCTGGGGGACCTCCTGGACTCACAACTCCTGTTCAAAGAGCAGGTGGCAGTGGTGACTAGGAGGGCCCTTGCACAACTTTGTGTTGTGTGGCAGTTACGCCCCTTGCTCGATCAGGAGGCCCTCCGCACAGCCACTCATGCCCTGGTCACTTCCCGGTTGGATTACTGCAATGCGCTCTCCATGGGGCTACCCTTGAAGGTACCTGGAAGCTACAGCTGGCGCAGAATGTGGTGGTGCAGACAGTTCTGAATGCCCCTAGGGGGGCACATATAACACTGCTGTTACGTGAGCTACATTGGTTGCCGGTTTGCTTCCGGGTCCAATTCAAGGTGTTGGTCATCACCTTTAAAGCCCTTCATGGCCCAGGACCAGGTTATCTGAGGAGCCGTCTCACCCCTGTTACATCAGCCCGCCCCACTCGGTCTGGCAGAAGGGGCTTATTGCAGACCCCACCAGTCAAGGAATTTTGACTAGTGGGATCTAGGAAGAGGCCCTTTTCTGTGGTGGCCCCCGCTTTGTGGAACAACCTTCCTCCTGAGGTGCGGTGTGACCCCTCTCTCATGGCCTTCAGGAAAAGCGTGAAATCCTGGCTTTGCCAGATGGCCTGGGGGCCAGGTGGGGGCTCACATCAGTGGAAGTGGCTTGTGGGGTAACTGATTTTGCCCCCGTCATCCTGAATGGCTTTTAGTATTTATGTATAGGGTTGTTTTACAGTTTGACTTTTTAATGGATTCATTAATTTTAATTATCTATGTGATATTTTTTAATTGTTCATGGGTTTTTGGTTTTAATTGTGAGCTGCCCAGAGTCGCCCATTGGGGGAGATGGGCAGTATACAAATTTAATAAATAAAATAAACAAACAAACAAACAAATAAATAAATATGTTTAAGGATTGAATTAATCTTATATAAAACCACATGAATCTTATTTTTTTCTTTTTCATTGGTTTCCTTTTCTTCTTTTATGCTCAGTTTATTTGAATTTGTAGTGTGAGAAGGAAATCAAATTCTTCCCCCCACATTAGCAGGAAGTCAAAGCTTCCCATTTGTCTCATTCTACCATTGCTTATCTTAAACAGCAAGCAACACATATGATTAAATTAGAGTAAGAATGGGCTCACCTAAAAAGATTAACACCTAACAGGAAGAATCAAGAGTCCTCCACCCTAGCCCAAAATTAAATAACTAAAGACCTGGCAGGAAGGGCCAACCTTAAAAACCAAAACTGAATCATAAAAAGATTTCTTCCCCAAGGGATCTACATTCCAATTAGTCAATACCAGATAAGGCAAACCCAGGAAACCCCAGCACAGAAGGCTGCCTGACCTTAGAACGCTCCCTAGTCAATCAAAGCTATGGTTTTTCCAGTAGTAATGTATGGCTGTGAGACCTGGACCATAAGGAAGGCTGAGTGCCGAAGAATTGATGCCTTTGAATTGTGGTGCTGGAGA